GACACGCCCAGAACCCCCCGGTCCCTGTTGCCCCGTCATCCTTCCGAGAAGGAAGAAAGTCTTCGTAAGGAATTGCCAATGTCTTGCCTTGACTTGCTCGCAGCCTTCCACGTCGGCGCGTCTTTCAGTCAGGCAATTGGATGATGCATCACTAATTCGTTCACGCAGGCGGCCTGCGTCCGACTCTGGCGCGCCCCTCTCTACTACCTACCTTAGGTAACTGTGCCTCTGCGACAGGGCCCCCCCCCCCCGTGACTGGCGATGCTTTGCGACACGATGCGATGCGCTGAGATTGGGTGGTGAATCTGCGGCTGGACTCAGGCATCACGGCAGCATTGCGGTCTCTAACTGTCAGCAATCGAGACACGAGGCGCCCGTGTGGCTTTTCTTCCCTTGCCGCTCCCTGGCCAAACATCTCCACTGTCGTCGTTCGACGGATCATCTGGCTCAGCGCCATGTCTCTTCAGCCGCCGACATCCGCCAGGTCATTCGTTCGTGATGGGATGGGCACATGTCGGCCGGTACGCTCGCTATACGAACAAGTAGGTATGGATTCCGATCCTAAGGTCGACCCTAGTTCAAGCCGCAACGTTGGAGCCCCAAGGGCTCTCCCGCATGCTCTCCTGCAGCCCTCCAACACGTCTCTCCCTATCCGTGGGTACCACAAGCTACAACGCCTTACGATAGAGCTCTCGACGCTTTTGTGTGAAGCTCGCTTGACTGTTCTTGGTTCAACTAAGCCATCTTCAGGCTTCAACACCTACAATCGAACTCGCTTAGACGGTTATTTGAAGCTATTCGGGCCATTCAACCTCGCCAAAACCTACAACTACAGTAGCTTTACTAGCTGCTGCATCTCGCTATCCGGACTGCATGAGATGGATGCAACCCCATTCAATCCATCCCATCTTCATCCCGCACTTTCACGCCCTCCCCCAACTTCTCCCCATTCCCATCCAACTTATTTTTTTCTTCCCCCAAGTTTCCCCATCATCTCTCCTCCAATCCCCCGGCCCCGGCCCCAAATGGGACAATGCTCGGTGGTACTCGATGCGCTAACTACCTATAGATCTCTCTATTCGGAGTCTACTATGGCAGACACTTCGTCTTGGTGTCCAGTTTGGCCGAGTTCCTGTCCGTTGTGGATCGCCTCACATGCACTTTCAGACGCCGTCTGTCTCTCTTTCTCTCCGCCTGGAGATATCGGGGTCTCCAAGCAACCCCATATCTCCAGCTTCACGAAGCCGGTACCCAATCACGACGTTGCTTCCGCCAGATCGCGCGCTTGCTCGTCTGATTCCGCGGGTGCTTTCGGGGCTTCGCGCTCATCGTTCAATGAGCCGTACACAACAGCCGTCCTTACGAAGTCACCGCCTATAATCGAAAGAGTCACGTCGTACCACCACCCCACCCGAGTCAGCGCGCGTTGCTGTTAAGAGGGCCCAAAGTCCGAATGACCAACAAGTTTTCCATCCCCGGCGCTCCAGACTTGGGCTCCCTCCCCCCCCCCCCGGCGCCTGTTCGCCAGTGGGTGCCTTCCGAGCCATCCCTGGTCGGCCTCCGTACCCAGGTGCTTACTTTTACCTGTCACGGCCGTGATATCGGCCCGTCTTTGATGACGGCCCCATTCAACCATGCCCGAAATCACGACAGCGGCCTGTCAACACTGGCGCGTCGCCTTGCCCTGCCTGCTTCAGTGCTTCATCGCCTCGGCTTCCGGCCGAGTTTGGGCTTGGTCTCGATTCTTTTCCCCAGCCCACCGCCCTCGTGCTTCTTCTCCAGGGCTCCTCTTTGTTCTTCCCCGTGGGAAACTGGTAAAACGACCGCGTTTTCGCCGGCCGCCTGATCTCTGACGCACCGTTCGTCTCGAACTTGAACTACAGATACGAAGAAGCGTACAAACCGCCAGACCGGTACCAATAGACCGACTGATTGTCACCGCACCGCAAACTCTGTCACTCCACGGGGTCTCCGGACGCGGGCACGGTGTCGGTCTCCGCTCGGAAGGATTTTTCTCTCCAGCAAAACCACGAACGTCCAGATTCTCTCTCCACTGCGGAGAACCTATCATTAAACACCCCTGCTACCCCTGGTGGGCACTTCCAAGGAAAAATTACCCCCAAGATCTCTGCTGAAGACTTGCCAACACAGCCCGAACCGTGAACCGTGAACCGTGAACCTCACACGATGTTCGTCACGTGGTGTCTCGATCCAGGCCTGAGGTTCATCCGCTGTTTTGCTCGCACGGGGCCGTCATGAACACAAGAAAAGCACAGGCTGCGGTACGCTGCACGTCCATCCCAGCAACCAGGCCATCCCCAGCCCATCCCGAGTTCTCGGGACACGTGAGTCGCAGGGCCCTTGAGTGGCAACGCCGACCCGCGTCTTTGGTGATGATGCTGGCGCCGTGCACGCACGATCGTTGCCTCTTCCCCCATTCCAAATGCCCGTCCTCTTGGTTGCCAAAGCTAACGATCGATAGGCAGTGTAAATGGATCCAAACCACCGGATTCTAGCGTGGTAGTCAGGTGCAGCTGTGCCCAGGTCCGAGCTCGACCCCTGTCCGGCACCACCGCCATCGAACCTCGGAACTTGTCGTCGTCGTCACTGACCTGTCACCAACCCGCCGACTAATGGGAGCTTTTGACTAACACCTTTGGTATGGACTGATCTCGACCGGCGGCCGGCTCCGTTGGCCTTCCGCAGTGCCGCACCACTACGTAGCCCTCCATCCAAGTGCCGCTATGGTATCTAACCTTTGCCTCCCGCCAATCCCACCCATCCTCCAACTTCACCGTCTCTCTACTCGCGGGGTTGAGGTTCTCTTTGTCGTGATGACTGGTTCGATCATTGAGACAACGCAGATCTGGGGTAGCCGCCATGAAAGCGCCGCAGCGCGCCAAGTCGAGGTGCTCAATTGCAGAAGAACTGAGCTATTAAGCATCAAGCCAATTGAATTCCCTCGTGGCTTGTCACCTGCCAGCTAGAAGCACACAGGTCGAAGGATCAGCCACCCGATTCTTTTGCTACCATGCAATGGCCGTGCCTTCGCCTTAGAGCCGCAGAAAGACTTTGGGCACTCAATGGCTGCATAGTTCCTCGATTAGGGTTCCTCGGGCTTCACAGGCGACAGGCCGGCATGGTGGGCAAACCGAGTGGTTGGACCGGTGTTGTGCGGTGCTTCTCTCCTTTCTACACAGCCTCGCCAGCACAAGCATTATCTACAAAGGATTAGGTCACGCGCGAGTATGCACCGACTTCCAAGTCCCAGGCGAGGGTTTGACACTACAGAAGCTCCCTTTGTGTGGCCGTCGGGCTAGCAACACGCTTCTGTCATGGTCGATTCTCGATTGCGGGGTTGGTGTTTGTTAGTGTCCGGTGCAGATTCTTTCCCGCCACTCTCAGGAGCTAGAATAACCAATTTTCTGTAAATCAGTTCCCAATCAATACTTAGAGTAGTCCGGTCTTACTCAATCTACTTGTCGCAGAAATGTGAAGATCAGAGGAGTTGCCAATTGAACTAACCGATCTGCGTGCATCCTCTGCGATCCCGTGACACCTTCCAAGAGGCCCTGCCGTAAGTGCTCTCAGTGCCAATGCAGCTCAATGACGATGCCAACAGCGAGCTTGACTTTCCTGAATCGGCTCACCTGCAGCTTTTATTTGTCGGGTGGCGCTTTTTGGTCTAACTGCTTTACCTTGCCGTGTTTGCCCAACACTTCTGGTTCGGGTCCGTTCCCCGGCTCCCGTTTTCCTGCCGGTAGTCGTCGGTTAAAAGTGGCGAAAGATGCAAGGGCTTGGAGGGATCTTGGCATCTGCCTTTTTGAGCCTGATGGTGATGACAATGGGGATGTGGTGATGTGTTTATGGCGATTTAGCTAGCGATGTTGATTTTTCAAGGGCTGGTTTGGTTGAATAGAGATGAAAAGGATGAATGGGTTTGGATGAGGTTACATGGCGTGTGAGCGTACAGCTAATACTTGAAGCATCACTTCTCGCTCGACACACGAGTTGGTATTCATGGCTTGAGTATCCCCATATTTCCCCCCAGCTGATATTATACAGTGTCACTGTAGCACTGCTTGAGGATTACTTTCTAGTCTTAAGTCACTTGCAACAGAGATCTTGCTGGCAGGAAGTTATTCCCGAGACGCAGCTTGGTGCTCTTGAATACTTGAAAAAGATGTAGCGACCAAGTCGGCATTCTTATAGAATACCAGTAGTACGTCATCATCAAAAGATGCTCTTCGCCGCACTCATCTTCATCTGGTTTATGCCGAAATTTTCTCAACGTCTATGCGAGAAATTTATGCCGATTGCCGTGCGGTGATGTTAAATATCCCATTGGCTTTGGTATTTCAAAAATCTTTTCTTATTGTGTAGATATCAAAAGATGTCTGTCCTTGTATTTGAATCGATATGTCTCTCAGTATTTGCAGTGCGAAATCTGAAGACAGACTTCGTATCAGCAACCGAAGTTCACTATTTCCAAGTTTCTGCACAAGCGTTCAATGAGACACAGGAATGTTGAAATGATTTAACTACCTTACTGAGCGGCAATGAGCCAACTCATATATCCATCTTTCGATAATCCACTAGTGCACATGCTTTTCTTGATGACGGTGAAGACGAGCAAGGCAGAATTGTGTTGAGCAGACCAGAGCTGGATAGTTACCACTTTGATTCAGCTTAATACTTGGTCCCTAATGTGCCTTAGACATTAGGCAACCCGCGAGGGATCCCATTCATTCATAATTCGCTACCTCATATCTGGTTGTCACCAATTTGGTGGCTTGTACCACCGAGTGCGGCTGTTTCATGCAGGCTACACAAAAGGGCAGCATCTACCACTCCGCTTAGTTGTGATAACAGACTTTCTGCCTCGTCTCCTTTATCTCTCTCTTCGCCGTCCTGACAACGTCATCTGACTATTCCAAAGCTCAGTCAGACGCACAGATCGCCTAGTCTGGCCCGAGGAATTCGGCTAGATCACCGCCGACATGTCAGGTCTTGAAGCCCTCGGCGTGGCAGGCAACATTTTCCAAGTCATCAGCTTCGGTCGAGACACAGCCAGCCTAATTAAACAAGTCTACCGAGATGCTACCGTCGACGATACCCTCGAGGTGAACGCAAAGGAACTCGCTCAACTTGCAGCGCATATTCAGGCTCTGGAAGGTCCACAGCTCCCGACCAAGCAAGAAGACCAGTTGCTGGAAATCGCGAAAAAAGTGCCAAGCCGTTGCGCGAGATTTGGCAGAGGAGATTGCTTTCATTCTCGGCCACAAAAAGAAGGGGAATCTTGCTGCCACAATCAAAGTGGCCCCCAAGGCAAACTGGCGAAAGAGAGGACTCAATAACTTGGAGAGGAAGCTCAATGACGCCCAGAGACTAATGCAGAGCGGCCTTCTTGCGCGAATTTGGTAAGACCGTGGAGCCTGAAATTCCCGTCGGCCACGTAGTCAGCTAACTTGAACAGCCAAAAGACCGACGCCATGCACCTTGATCTGAAGTCGCTGCGACAGCAATCTACGAGACTTGATCAAACATCCGGGACTCAGACCAGAAACACTCTGCTGATATCGCAGCGTTGATTCTAGATAGAGATCGAGATGAAAAATGTCGACGTTTCCTTGGGAGCTTCAAATTCCCGGACATGAACAAACGCCAGAGCCACGTGGTCGAACCATGTGGAGGTACCTACCAATGGATATTTGCAGACGGCATGGGATCTCTCGAAGATTCGAGCATCGTACCAGGAAAAAAAAGAGACAGGGGCCAAACGCTCCAAGAGGCTTGAAGATTCTAAAGATGATGCCCCTGACGAGACCGCTGATGAGGTCACGAAACGCACTTCCGTAGTCCAAGATTTGAGCACACCGGATCTCTTTAATCAACTGGCTCGAATCTGGTAGCCCAATCTTCAGGTCCAGTGAGAATCCCGGCTCGGGGAAATCTACGCTGATGAGATATATCATAACCGACTTGCGGACTAGAAGCGCTCTCAAAGTGTGGTGCCCTGGCGTGTCTATAGTGTCACACCTTTTTCTGGCGACCTGGAAACCTCATACAGCAGAGCATCAGGGGAATGTTCTGCTCGCTGCTGCATCAACTTCTTACAGATGACTTGACGGCTATGGACCGATCTATGAGCAGTATTTCAGCATCTGGACGGAAGGAATCTGGGACAGATTGGACTGCTAAGGAACTCTAAACGCTCTTCTTCAACACCATTCAGCACTACAATCGTCCCATATGTTTCTATTTAGATGGTATGGATGAAGTGAGCCCCGAAGACGGCGTATTGAGACTCCTAGAGATCATACACAACCTGTGTACCATTCAAAATGTCGAAATTTGTGCCTCTCGATAATCAGGCTATGATAAGTTTGTCAAAGTTTCAGCCAAGTTCGAGAACCTGGAGAAGGTGCGCACCTTCCTGGTGAGAAAACCTGGAGAAGTTGCGCACCTTGCTGGTTCTGCACCCATGAGAGGTACGTAACTATGTGCCGATGTCATCAGTCGACGTAGCCTCATGGAATTCTTTTCAACGACAGACACATTTGGAATCATCCAGTTTAAGGGAAAGCAGTCGTCATTCACGATGTCAGTCTCAGAACACCCAGAGATTGATGGAGCCCTTATGCCATCCAATGGTTTGGTTCCGCCGAACGGTTCTATCTCAGAGGGATCCTGCCTCCCACAGTTCAGTTTAGTGCGCACAATGGTGACGAGAACCTGCCCAACCCAGCATTTCTTCGCTGTCACTACATCTTGGCTGAGGTTTATAACGTAAGCCCTACAATCTATATCCGTGAAAAGTCTATTCCAAAGAATAGTACTTCAGATATCACAGGGTCTCACTACTCTTAGGACATGAACTTGCAAAACCTTTCCCTAAGGTTGTTGCCGCGAGGAGCGAGACGACGAAGAAGGACGTCCAAGATCATCTCACAAACCTCGGTCTCAGAGAAGCAACGATGTACGTCGACGATGATGGAGTGCAGTATTCTCGTGATATTGCAAAGAAGATGACACCCGGATGGATGGTCGAGTGGCTCTACGGGAAATCACCCGAAACTTAAGGCTTCATTCTATTTGACTATATTTGTCACCCATAAGCTATGGCACTCATATATGGAATAATACAGTATAGAGAAACCCTACAGTATGTTTTCCGGGTAATGGTAGTGGCTGGTTTCCGAGCGAACACTGCAGACAGTCTTCCACTTCCCTTCTGCCGAGCTGTCCAGATCTCATCGAATTCTGTCGGATAGGCGACATCACATGACTTAAAAGCCACGCGAATCGCTGATGCTAGCTTGACGGCTTTTACCGTCTTTTCTTTCAGGCCTCGGGAAACTAGGAGAACTGCGCTACACGCCCCGAGGAACATATGAAGCCGTTCGTTCGTCATGCCAACTATAGCCAGTTTTCGTTGGACATAGAGAGTGACTTACTGGTTTACCAATCGTTTGGCGATGATGTGACAAAATATTTCACGGCTATATTTGAGCACTTGGGGTGTCAAGAAGGCTCTTATTGTGCTGTAGAAAGATAGCGGTGAGAATGCGGCCCGGCTGTGGGTCCCGGGATGTCGAAAGCCGCATTTGCAGGGTCACCGAAACTCAATTATAGAACCGTGGTATGCCGGAGCCGCCGAGCACCAGGAATACTCACCCGAGATTAAATCGAAACTCTAATGAGCCTTGAAGAAATCATTCGGCCAATGCCGCTTCCCGTATTTCTCATTACGGACGCCGGCTAGCTGGTCTCAGTAGTGTTGAAGAATTATGCCACACCGTTCATGACAAAGGAAGAATATAAGTACAGGAGGCAGAAGGTAACTTAGTCCTCCAACGGAGCTTTGAAGCTTTGACTACCGAGAGCATCAATTGAATTATCTGCTGCGTGAAATCAGTGTTTTTTTTCTCCCGGCCACTCCTTCACATCTGTTCTTTGTTATCTGCTGCTCTCAACAGCAAATAATACAGGCCACCATGCGTCATCAGACCTTCTCATATGTGGCTCTAGCCTTATTAGCCGCCATCGCAAACGCGCAGTTCGAGCACGCAGAGCACGCATACATAGCCCCAGCCTCAACCGACCGCCGCTCACCATGCCCAGCCCTTAATATCCTCGCCAATCACGGCTACATCAACCGCGACGGCGCCTTCATCTCAAGTGAAAGCGCCACGGTAGCTCAGATGCAGGCCTTCAACTTCTCCCGCGCTGTGTCTGCAGGCCCCGTCCCTGCGGCGCTGAAATACTCCACCACGGGTGTGAACGGGACTTTCCACCTCGACGACCTGGCGCAAAAGCCACTGGATCACGACGGAAGCTTGAGTCGCGGAGACCTAGCGCTGGGTGATAACCTGCGATTCAATAGGACGATTTGGGATTCTTTCGTGGCTAGACTACCTGACGAGTTCGTTACTTGGAAGCAAGCTGCTGAGGCTGGTGCTGCGAGACTCGAGGATGCGAGGAAGGAGAATCCCGAGTTTGTGCTTGATGCCGCTGGTGTCGCGGCTACAGTTGAGCAGATGAGTGGTCTTCTTGCCGCGCTTGGAGGGAGCGTCGAGGATGGCAAGGCGAGGAGGGATTGGATCAATGCTAGTTTCGTGGAGGAAAGGCTGCCGTGGTCGCTTGGCTGGAGGACGAGTGAGACGGTGCTTGAGGGGGCGGCCTTTGGCCCAATGGCGAAGGCCTTGAGGGAGTATGCGCCAGGTGGGGTTTGACCGCAGACACCTGAGCAGGAAGAAACTAGACATACATGTCAGTGAATTGTAGCACATACTTCTCAGAGGGTAGTTTTCCAGGGTCGATGAATCTCAGTAGCACCAACTTCCACAACGTGGGCATGTGGCATAACTTCAACCCAGATTCATCTGGCACCTTCAATTGAGCGCCCGTCTTATATGAAGAAGCAAATATGTGGAATTGAGTGCTACTAATGAGGTGCTACGTAAACATCTAATCGTGACCAATGACGTTCTTAGGAACATAAGGCTCCTCCAGGTATTTGGCCTCCTCATCAGTCAGAGTCTTGCCCCGCAGCTCGCATGCCTCATCGATTCTCTTGACAGAGTTGAAGCCGGTGATGGGAATTCCGCCCTTGTAACGGATCCAAGCGAGCGCGACATGGCTCATGCTCCACCCCTTCTTCTCCGCAATCTCCTCAACCCGGCGAATGATGTTCTCATCAGCTTCGCTGAGATCGGGGTTCATCGGACCCTTGCCTTGGGATCGGATGCTGGTGTTTTCGGCCTTGACAGACCGCGCCAGCTTTCCGCCGTAGAGCGGCGACCAGGGAAGAAGACCCACGCCTGTCTCCTTGCAGAACCGGTTCATTTCGCGCTCTTCCTCGCGGTAGACGAGGTTGTAGAAGTTCTGCATGCTGACGAACTTGGTCCAGCCGTTCTTCTCGGCGACAAACTGCATGCGCGCGAACTGGGTGGCCCACATGGAGCTGGCGCCGATGTAGTGGATCTTGCCGGCTTGAACGAGGTCGTGGAGAGCCTTCATGGTCTCCTCGATGGGCGTAGTCGGGTCGAAGCGGTGGATCTGGAACAGATCGATGTACGTCGTTCCCAGGCGAGAGAGGGCATCGTCGACAGCCTGGAAGATGGCCTTGCGGGAGAGACCGCCTTGGTTGACGTAGTCCTTGCTCTTGGGCACTTCTTGAGGAAACATGGTAGTGTGGAGGTTCGTCTCCTCGCCGACATAGATGAAGCACTTAGTCATGAGAACGATCTTCTCGCGGGGGATGCTGAGCTTCTTGATGGCCTTGCCGATAACTTCCTCGCTGATGCCATTGGAGTACATGTTCGCGGTGTCCCAGGTGTTGATGCCGCGGTCGTAGGCGGCCTTGAGGATCTCAAGCGATGCTTCCTCGTCCAGCACCCACGGCGCCCATTCGCTAGACCCGAGGGACATGCCGCCCAGCACTGGAACGGACACCCGAAGACCGGAAGTTCCCAGGTTTACATATTCAACCTTGGTGGTGTCAAGGCTCTTCTGAAGAGAGGCGGGAACGGGAAGTGCAAACATTGTGAATGGTGATTGCTTTGAAGGAAGTTGAGGGTTATGGTGCTTTTGATTCTGGTGTTGATGTCAAGATTGGAGATGTTGCGGTGAGCGTGAATTGACGAGATACTTATTCACGATGTTCGGCTGAAATTGCATGGTTATATAGCAAACATCCTGAATCCTCCATGACATTGAAAGACCATCTTACCTTGAACGTCGGCGTGGATTCATCAGCACTGGCCTAGGGTACTGAGGAGATAGTTGTAAAATCCGCATCATGAAGCCTTACACCTTGAGTATCACCAGGCTTCAGTTGATTATCGTGGCTTCGAGGTGGTAAAACACTGTTAAGACCGTCTATGTCCATTGCTCATGGCCAGATGTAGAGTGTATGTTTGTCAGACGATGGTGGCTAGTTGGCTTCGTAGCCGGTGTATCAACGGAAAATCTGCCACATTTCCACCGTAAAGTTGCCAAACAGTGCAACGGGCAATTGACGGACTCTTTTCTTGTCCGTTCCTTGTGAGTCCTTTTGAACAGTGTCGCAGCATTTGGGACTTTGGTTCTGAGGACGCAGCGGACCTTGGCGTCTTTAGGGCCCAGGTCCGCGAAATCCGGGGTTTAGTGCTTAAACCCGGGGCAAATTGGCCGAGCCGGCAACGAACAAAGCTTGCTTGCACAGTGGCCGACAGGCGGTTGTTTGGGGGTGCGGGCACTACCTCCGGCGCTCTGGTAACAGGAACCTTTTGCGACAAAACACCATTCGGGAGCCTTTACACGCGATTACGCTCAGTCATAATGGCTTCAAGCGCTCGTGTACCGGACATTTCTATGAGCTCAACTTAATGGCGTACATGCGCCGGTGAAGCTGGGTTAGAAAGGCTTCACGTTTCTGTTCTAGATCTCAGGGATCTAGCTAGCGCCGCTCATCTTCACACATACGTTGTCAACTTCCATCATCGTGAAGTTGTAGCTGTGTGAATGTTCGAGCTCTTCTACCACATACAATTCAGCAGGTGGCACGAGTATGATCATTGAAAACCAAGATTTCTGCAGGTCCATTCCTTTGGTCATGAGATTACACGAGTGACCTGGAGGCGGCCAGATTGCCAAAGTCGCTTACGGCATTCCCAGGACTCGGTTGTCGTTGGTTTTGAGTGATAAATTGAGTCAGCCACTTGGATGTGGTCCAGCCAAGTTACGATGCATGCGACTTGCAACAGGGTTCCCTGACTATAATGATCGTTCGCACGAAATCCGCCCAGTTTTGTGGCACACAAATCAGTAACTATTCCCAATTCCATTGAGGTCTCTACGTAGGTATAAATGTGGGTAGTTCTGATGGCCCTCGCTGGCAATTCGCCTGATCAAGTAGCGCTTTAACTCCGCCAACGATATCTATGCCCAGTGCCCTGCCCATCAAGCCCACCTCTCGACCACCCAAAATGCACATGAGCTCACCAATAGACAAATTCGTCAACATACGGAGCTTGAAACTCTTCCAATGTGTAACAAGTCCGACCAGTAGGATGGGCGTCTACCTACCTAGCTTAACATCACTGTAGAAGGTAGCCAACGAAATGAATTGACAGATACGCCTCTTTGCGCTATTCTGAGACACGACGGCATGGAGTTAAGGTTGCTCGCGCCCGGCCAGCGGACCCCATCTACGTCCCGACTTGCACTTTGAAAGTTTAGTCCCCTCCCGACCATCTGGAACTGGTCCGCGCGGTCTCCGCTCCGCTCCCCCTTGCTAACTCCGTCATAGACTTGGGATGAAGTCGCAAGCGGCCATAGGTAGTATATAATGGTTTCGTCCAAACGCGATTTTCAACGTCATGTCATTGAGAAACCCCTCTCATCATCAGAACTGGATTCATTAGCTTCACTATCATCTACGTATCAATCACTACTATACCCTACACTTACAGCACACAATGGGCTTCATCTATAGCCAGCTCTTCAAGTCCCTGCCGTATCCCACCGGCTCATATGCGGGCAAGACCATCGTCATCACCGGCAGTAATGTGGGTCTCGGCAAGGAAGCCGCCCGGCA